GATTATTTCCCAGCAACTCAAATGATTCAAACTGGAAATGCATTATGCATTTGGCCCCAACAAATGTTAAGTTTGTAAAAAAAAATATTACCGTTTGCACAAGTTTGGAGTAGTGTCCTTTAATGCTCCATGTCCTATTTTGTTTTTCTTACTGCTGGGAAATATTGAATACAAAGGAGTGGGAGGAAACCTGGACAACGGCACTCCATGCTGCAACATTTTGTTGCAGGCCCCGACTTGTTAATAGCAAAAAAATCCGAGTGCCTTTCTTAATGAACCCAAAGGGACACCGTCTGCACATAAGTGAGAAATAGAACTCCACTCTGGGAAACTCCAGGGTTTGAAAAGTCCTCATCTCATTAAGATATGAAAAAAATAAAAATAAAACTCCTATGACAGGGAGTAAAACAAAAATCCTCAGAAAGGATTAAACCTGGGTTTAACTAATGGATATGGGATAATCTTTGGAGATCTTTATAACAAATATTGCAAATGTGGCAATTTGTGTACTCTTGAGAGGCAGATGACAAATAATGAATGAGATTTCCATTTTCCTGCTAAACATCACTTTATTCTCTTCCCAATTCCTGCTATGCGAGAGATCCAAAAACTGAGTAGCACATCTGCCGGATGTCTGAAGGTGCCAAAGTTGTGTGAAACAACTTGAAAGGAAACAACCCATAAGTGGAATTAGTCAACAAAAACAGATCTGCATGCAGCAAATGTAGCATTGTAATTGCATGTGTCAAAAGGAACAAAAATGTGCCTTCACACACAATTAAGCGCTTGGTTGTAGGCACTATTCTCCCTGAGAAAAAAAACCCCTCTGATTAATTTAATTATCCGAAAAGCTCAATTTTTGTTTGCTCTTCTAAAGCAATGTTTTTCATCCTAATGCTTGCAGGAAGAAAGCCAGAACTGATAAACTATCAAACTTTACCATCTAGAATACAGATGGAAAACAATTAGTGATACATGGATTTAAGGCTGGCAATATTAGGATCTTCCCAGGAAGATATTTGGGGTGTTTTAGCCGAAAGGTAGAAACCTGGCGGAGCCCCAACATTTCTGACAGAAAGCACAGATCTAGCAGCAAGTAGATCTGATTCACACTTTTCACGCAATACCTGAAGCTTCGTAAATGAAGCCTTTTTAGATCTTCACTCAGAAAACAGCAGACAAAGCAGATTTGGAATATTGCCAGATTCTTCCCAACCTGATGTGCTCACCTGGGAGGCAGGGAAAACTGAAATTGCTGAAGCCACTGATCCTTAGATTGAGAAAAACTAAGGGTGTCTCCAGACAGTATCTTGCAGCAGCAATTCAAGTACACATCATGAAATTTTGGTACGTGCATTTTAAAGTGGATTAAATTACCCTAGTACAACAAATCCACATTTAAAAAGAAGTGGATTACATTGCATTATGCATTAATGTATTATTTCCTTTTAATGAGATTGGAGCACATGATGTGTTATTTTGCGCTTTTTAAGATTATGAGAATGTTTGAAATATATGCTGTGGCAAATAAGCTATTTAAAAGATAAAAATAAAAAAGAAGTGGATTTTTATGTGTGGTTAGGGGCATTTCTAAATGGTTACTATCCCCTTTTTGCATTCATCAACAAATTCATGATTTCTGAAAATTCTAAATAGCCCTGAGACTGCAAGTATCCTAGGTTTTCTGAATGGATACCATACCAGATGCGGGTAGCACTGTGGGTTAAACCACAGAGCCTAGGACTTGCCAATCAGAAGGTCAGCGGTTCCAATCCCCGAGACGGGGTGAGCGCCCGTTGCTCGGTCCCTGCTCCTGCCAACCTAGCAGTTCGAAAGCACCTCAAAGTGCAAGTAGATAAATAGGTACCACTCCAGCAGGAAGGTAAACAGCGTTTCCGTGTGCTGCTCTGGTTCGCCAGAAGCGGCTTAGTCATGCTGGCCACATGACCCGGAAGCTGTACGCCGGCTCCCTCGGCCAATAAAGCGAGATGAGCGCCGCAACCCCAGAGTCGGTCACGACTGGACCTAATGGTCAGGGGTCCCTTTACCTTTTACCATACCAGACACTGGTGGGAGTTAAAAATGAGTTTTTTAATCAATGAACCATTAGGACATCTGGGGTGAAATGAAGCAAAGCACTAAATGGGGCATGCAGAGCATAAATTCTGCTGGTGCAATGAGGCTTCCCCCCTCCCCCCTCCTCTCTCAACTCACCAAACCCGTTCTGGATTCCCCTCAACCTTGCAGAGTAGATTTTGGGGTGGAGGTGTGTGCAAGGGTGTGAGGAGGGTAGGAGAGTGGTGTAAGTTTGGTTTTGGAACAGACTTTCAGAACGGGTTAAGTTTGAGAACCAAGGTACCACTGTACTGGCTTATTTCCTTGACATTTGAAAGCAAAAGGAAGAGTATACAAATCAGTTTATGTCCATTAGGAGAGACTATGCAGCAGAGTAAAATCTTGCTCATATCCCAGGCTGTGACAAAACCACTATTAACAGAGCCAAACTGAAAGCATTGGTTCAGGGCCATAGCTGAATGGTCAAGCACATATTTTGCATGCAAAAGATGCAATGTCCAATACCATTTTGGACCGTGAAGGCATCCTGCCTGAAACCCTGGAAAACTGTTGCCCGTCATTGTTGACCTATGCCGGATCCAAGCCATACATTTGAAGTGCATGGTGTGATAGGAATTTTGAGGTCTTAGATATATGGTAATGTTCATAAATGTACCAACCAAGCACATACATAGATCAGCACAGGAAGGCCAACCTGGAACCATTTTGATTCCCAAACTGACCAAATGTTTTCTCTGCAAGGTCAAAGTGGAAAAGCCTCCCCATTGTCTTTTCCTTCACAAATCCTGTCTTAAGGGTATGTCTGTGTTTGAATAGGGCGTGAGCCTGTGACATGGCCCAGGAACTAAGTATTTATCATTACAAAAGATTGGCCAGGCTCCCCAGGCAATCCAATCAAGTAACCTGCCAGATAGGAGATAAATAAGGACAGGAGAAAAACAACATTCAAATTTCTGTTTAGACTGCATTTTTGTGATGTAGGTGTGATGTATCTGAGGGGTGGTCTTAGGATACACCCCTTCTGTGATGTATGTATGATGTTTCTGGGGGTGGTATTGATCAGGGTGGCTATTTCAAAAGTCTTTATAAGGCCTTGCACGCCATTTTTCTGGGTCCCTCCTCTCTCCTGTGGGTGAGGGGAGCACCCGGTTGCATCAGATCAATAAAGGCCAAGCCTACAGGCTGCTGTTTTGCTCCAAGTAATCCTGGTTGGTGTCTTTGCTTTTGTCCAAGGGAGCCCTTGGATTTTTCCGTTAACAATGGCTTCCCCCAAAGAATGCTGGCAACTGTAGTTTGTTAAGGGAAGCTACTGTTTCTGGGATTCTTTGGGGGAAGTCATGTGCTTTGAATGGGTGCTGGGGGTGCTTTAAATACATGGTGTGAAATTGCCCCTAGATGGAGTGGAGTTCTGACTTTCTATAATTCAGCTTGCTATGTTCCTGTAGCAATTGTCTTTGTATTAACACACACAAATGCACAACCTTAATTCACAGGGCTAGAGTGACTAAGTCATTTTGGCAAAGGAATGTGAATTTCTCTCGCCATTAACATTCCTGTAGTAAAGAGTTAGGTGCGAAAGGGTGAAGGCTTGTGTTTGTTTTTAAAACTGCCCCTGGAAAAAAATAATGACTGCAGGTCATGATTTTTAAAATTAAGGCTTGAATTTTTCTCCTTTTTACTTGTTGATTACCCTAAGCAACAGCTTCAGGCATCTGGATTAATACTGTGTTTTCTTGTATTATTATTATTTAATTTTACATTTACAGTATGTCTATCTTTTCTGGAGGGAAATAGGAACATTATGTTTTGGTTGCTTTTTTCTCGGGACCAATAAGTGGGTTTTAAATTAAGTTCTGCTGTAGCATTTAATCATACTTTCATAGAGTGGTTTTCAGGATCAATGTACTTGCGTAAGAGGTAAAAGAAACTTGTCTGAATTCATGTTGCGGAAATATGGCTTCCCACAGAAACTGGTGTGATAAACTTTACAGCAATCATGAATCATAATGTGTTTTCCAGGGCAGAAGCCAATGGATTTGCCAGCGTAATATAAGGTGTTCCTTCCTCAAAAGGGATGAAACCATATTCGTGTGCACACTCCTTCTTCTTCTTCTTCTTCTTCTTCTTCTTCTTCTTCTTCTTCTTCTTCTTCTTCTTCTTCTTCTTCTAATTTATATGCTGCTCCATGCCCAGGGTCTCATGGCGGCTCACAGAATAAAATCAAAATCAAAAACCACAAAATACATAGTAAAAATAACAACAACAACCCAATAGCCCCCCCCCCCCCAGTTTTTTTTTTAAAAAGGGCATAGGATGTAAATCAGATCAACCCAAGGCCTGGTTAAAAAGGAACATTTTTGCCTGGCGCCTAAAGGAGTATAATGAAGGCACCAGGCGAACTTCCCTGGGGACAGCATTCCACAGATAGGGAGCCACTGCAGAGAAGGCCCTGTTCTCGTGTTGCCACCCTCCGGACCTCTGAAGGAGGAAGCACACGAAGAAGGGCCACAGAAGATGATCTCAGGGTACATTTCATTTTTTGAATAGTGTTTGATTAATTAAGGCTGAAACCCTATACAGTGGTACCTCGGGTTACAGACGCTTCAGGTTACATACGCTTCAGATTACAGACACCGCTAACCCAGAAATATTACCTCGGGTTAAGAACTTTGCTTCAGGATGAGAACATTAATCGTGCTCCGGCAGCGTGGCAGCAGCGGGAGGCCCCATTAACTAAAGTGGTGCTTCAGGTTAAGAACAGTTTCAGGTTAAGAACGGACCTCCGGAACGAATTAAGTAATTAACCCGAAGTACCACTGTACACTCATTCCTGGGAGTAAGCACAGCTGAATATTGTGGATCTTGCTTCTCAGGGCCACCCAGCGTAATCAGCTTTCTCAGGTATGTTCTGCAACATGTCACTGACACAACAATAGTACATTTAGTGGTGGAGCACGAGACTCTTAATCTCAGGGTTGTGGGTTTGAGCCCCATGTTGGGCAAAAGATTCCTGCATTGCAGAGGCTTGGCGTAGATGATCATCATGGTCCCTTCCAACATTACAGTTCTATGATTCTATGATTGAAGGCAGCCCTGTTTAGGGAAGCTTTTAATGTCTGGTGTTTTATTGCTGCATTATTGCTGCATTAATTCTATAGGGAGCTGCCCAGAGTGACTGGGGAAACCCAGCCAGATGGGTGGGGTATTATAATTATTATTACTGGCTGTTGAAGGGACTGGTCTAGGGAGCATCCTGAGGGTGAGATAGGAATGCTGTAGTTGAGGGCACCTTCAACTCACAGGCCTGAGACTCACCACCTCTGTATTAAAACAGTGGCCCATTTCAACTAAATAAAAAATGTCTCAACAAAAAAAATTGATCTTGTTAGTATGTAGAGTAAGCGCACTGTGTGTTCCGCCACAAGAGGAAATCTGGAAATAAATCTATCCTTGCTTTTGACATCCCTGTAATGAGAGTCATTTTCAAAATGGCTTTAATATCTGTTGTTTATAATATGTGAGCCGCATGCATGATTAAGAATTATGCTACCGGGTTATGCAAGAAATTAGTGCATAATGTACTGTAATGATAAATGACCTTGTCTGAAATGATGTACTACTTAGTATAGGGTATGGGAACTGTGTCGTAAAAGAGAACACGAATCTTTGTGAAATAAAACTACTAGATGCATAAGCATTGTGTGGTGGTTTTGCCAGGTCCACAAAACATGCACTGTAACTTGCTATATGACGATTTCACACGGTCAGTTCTGCTTTATGATCTGTAGGAGACGTCTGCCACAAGGATGGCATTCCCCATGGGAATAACATATAGATGGGATGACTATACTGCTTTTTAATGCATGTATGCACTGACCTAGTTAGTACGTAAATTAGTTTAAACTGTAGTAAAAGGTAAAGGTAAAGGACCCCTGGACGGTTAAGTCCAGTCAAAGGTGACCACGGGGTTGCAACACTCATCTTGCTTTCAGGCCAAGGGAGCCAGCATTTGTCCACAGACAGCTTTCTGGGTCATGTGGCCAGCATGACTAAACCACTTCTGGCACAACAGGACACTGTGACAGAAACCAGAGCGCATGGAAACACTGTTTACCTTCCCGCCGCAGTGGTACCTATTTATCTACTTGCACTGGCATGCTTTTGAACTGCTAGGTTGGCAGGAGCTGGGACAGAGCAACGGGAGCTCACGCCGTAGTGTGCACTAGTGCAACCTAGAAAAAAGCAACAAACAAGAGTGCTTCGCTTCTCTGAGAGCAGCTAACCTGGGATGGTGGTTTGTTTGTCACTCTAAAAACCTATGACTTATAATCGAGGTTTGTTCTTAGCTTACTGCTCATGGTTTGTTGGAGAGAAACAAACCATGAGCCTGGGTTCAGACATTGCACTAAGCTTAGCTCCCAGCAGCACAGCAGCAGGAAAGGGGGAGGGCTGAAGCACTCACAATTTCAGCAGTCTACAGGAGCATGCTGCACATTCACCTTTAAAGCCTGGTTTATTTTAAACATGTTTAAAAGAGACTTGTGAAAGAGACCATTGAGTAGTATTGTTGGATCAATCCATCAATCCAAACCTCTGATGGATGATTTAGAAGGATTTCTTTCGCTCTCTGTGTGTGGCAGTATCCAGTGTGGTGTAGTGGTTAAGAGCGGTGGACTCGTAATCTGGGGAACCGGGTTCGCGTCTCCGCTCCTCCACATGCAGCTGGTGGGTGACCTTGGGCCAGTCACACTTCTTTGAAGTCTCTCAGCATCACTCACCTCACAGAGTGTTTGTTGTGGGGGAGGAAGGGAAAGGAGATTGTTAGCCGCTTTGAGACTTCTTAAGGGGAGTGAAAGGCAGGATATCAAGTCCAAACTCCTCCTCTTCTTCTTCTCAACGCAGCTCCTTCCTTGGAAGCATCTTCAGGGTTAAAGGTACACACAGAAGGCAATAAACACTCATGGATGCCATAAAGATTCAGTCAAGTGTAGAAGTTTGGGAAACACTGTGTTGAGGGGCATACAATTGTCATGCATGGTTTTTGTTGTGCAAATAGCAAACTTGGGGGAGCTTGGAGATAATCTCTCTAAAGCTGCCACTTGGATTTAAACTGAAGTTCCCAGTAGTGCATAGGGAGGCTTTCTTTGAAATGCAAACAGCATTTTCAGAGGGGAGATATGTATTAGCACTCTAGCAGGGAAAGAAAGGCTTCCTGAAGGCTGCAGTTTACATAACAGAAAACATGCAGGCCAATGTCTAGGCATGTCTGGTTTGACCTTGAAATATTCAGGCCTTGAGACTTTTTCCTGAGCTTTTTTTTTTCTTTTCTTCCCAAAATTGGCCATTCCTCCATGGATTTTTCCATGTTTGCAGACCCTCCAAGTGTCCCTACTTTCCAGGGACAGCCCCGTACTTACAGAAGCCATCACAGTTTCTGATCTGATCCTGAAATGTCTCGCTTTTCCGTAGGACGTTCCTACTTTCATCTGATAAATGTTGGAGGGTATGGAATAGGTTTTCTTTATTTTCATCCGATAAAAGTTGGAGCATACTGCATGTGTTTGCCATCTTATCTGGATTGCCTAGCACATCTTGCATCTCCATAGAAACACCTTCTTTTTATAAATTCCCTAACTTCCCTCTATTTCTCCCTTTCCTTTTATTATTTGTACCCTGCCCATCTGGCTGGGTTTCTCCAGTCACTCTGGGCGGCTTACAACATATATTAAAACACAATAAAGTTGCAGCTAATAGTAATAAAGGCATATTTTACGGGTTTGTTAGTTTTGACGTTTTGAATTATTCCATAAAATTTTTCACATTGCTATTGTTTCTGGCCATCTTCTTGCTTTTGATATTGCTGACTCATATTTTGCAACACAGGGGTTAGTTTGTTTACTCATATTTTACGGGAAGGCAGACAGAATTAGATGCTTACGGATTTCACCTCAGATTTTGTGGATCTAAATTCTCTTACCTTATATTTCACTGATGCCTTGCCACACTTAGATCCTGCCCTCATATTTTCAGTTCCCATATTTTCAAAAAACCCCACATCTGTTTATTGGTTATCTCACCAGTGCATACAGTCACTTCCTTTTTGCTTGACGTTCAAAGCACCAACTTCCTATGACCCCCCCCCCGCCACCCAAAGTTCTGGGAAGCAGTTTCAAAGGAACCCTACAATGAAGAAGAAGAAGAAGAAGAAGAGTTTGGATTTGATATCCCGCCTTTCACTCCCTTTAAGGAGTCTCAAAGCGGCTAACATTCTCCTTTCCCTTCCTCCCCCACAACAGACACTCTGTGAGGTGAGTGAGGCTGAGAGACTTCAGAGAAGTGTGACTAGCCCAAGGTCACCCAGCAGCTGCATGTGGAGGAGCGGAGACGCGAACCCGGTTCCCCAGATAAGGAGACTACCGCTCTTAACCACTACACCACACTGGCTCGAAAATTATAATGTGGAAATATTTGTCTCTCTGCCTGCTTGCATCTGACACATCGGCATGTAGAGACATGGGTGCCGTGCACTGAAAATGCTGAGCCACTTGTGGGAATACTTTTTCAGAAGTTGCCCATAGCCAGTTAGCCATTTTAAGAACTACGTTCAGGTGTGCTATTATATACTTTTAAAATATCTGTCTCTTTTTGAAATGTTATGCTTGGCAGTAAAAACAACAACAACAACCCCACCGCTTTCTCTTTTGGATGAATCAGGGAAACGATTGCTGTATTTCAGCATACTACTTAATGTCACTTTAATTGCCATAAATGTCTTGTAAGCATCTGGTTATGTTAATATATATAATCATGCGCATTTGCATTTTGATTCTGTCTCTAGACAACACAGTAATGTTATCATTAAAATCACTGGCACATGCCTATTGATTTACAGATTTCCCACTAGCAATGTGGTTTAAAATATCCTATCCATTCCATTCTTTTCTGCTGAATCTGTGCAGATGTGTTACTTTTACTGTATCAATGAGTCTTTGATGAGCACTGCTGTCAGTGAAGCATACTCGTTTGACACCTTTGCAGCAGAAGCTCTGCATGCTTACTCAGAATAAACCCCAGTGTTCAACAGTGTTCACAGCTAAGTGTTCACAGGTTTGCAGCCGGTATCAATAATATACTAAGAACTGATTACTGTATCTATTTTGTTCATTATAGATTTTGTCTTATCCTGTTACTCAGACCAAGGAAGACACACAAATATCCACAATGTTACATTCTAAAAAGAAACAGACCCCCGTGGAGATCACAATAAGGGATGCTGTGAATATCTATGATTTTCAGTCTCTAAAGCAAAATATTAGTTAGTGTGGATCAATGGGAAAAAGAAACAGTAACTTGTTTAGCAGTTAGAAAGTCTGCAAGTACAGTCGTACCCTGGTTTTTGAGCAGCTTAGTTCTCGAACATGTTGGTTCCCGAATGCTGCAAACCCAGAGGTAACAGTTCCGTTTGCAAACTATTTTTGGAAGCTGAACATCCAACATGCCTTCCAATTGGCTGCAGGAGCTTTCTGCAGCCAATCAGAAGCTGTGCCTTGGTTTCTGAACGTTTTGGAAGTCAAACGGACTTCCAGAACGGATTCCATTCGAGAACCAAGGTACGACTGTACAACAGCCTTGTCTGGTCCTAAGAACCACATTGCTGCATTTGCTGATAAGTGTCCTCAACATGTGATGATACTTTGTTCACCAAGGTGGAAGCATTCATGGAAACAAATGGGACAGTTTTTCACATCCTTATCTGCAATATAAATGATGAGAGATTAGTAGGGAAATGAATAGGATTAATAGAGTAAAGGGGATTAAATTTACAGGCAAGCTGCATGTGATTGTGAATTATGTCAGTCGTGTAAAATTAAATGAGACAGCAAGCAGAGATGTCAGCTGGTGTTGCAAGGGCTACTGGGAGCTACATTTGCAAAGCTTAAGTTGTGCTGCTCTGAAGGAGGACAAACATCCCCACTAAATGTAAAGAGACATCCTTCAAGTG